CCAATTACCCTCCCAACAAAATAGTTCTCTTGACACCATTTGAAAAACTCTGTTATTCATTTTTTTCAATCCATAAATTGAATCTTGTACCCAGGAGAACGAGAATATTTGACTTTTTGTGGCCTAGTTATGACAGCAAGTAATAAGGTCACAAACACTGAACTATCTGCAGCTTAGATTAAAATATACATATTCGAGCATCGAAATGAAAATCATGGTGGCAAAAATTCTAAAACAAACTCTTCCGTGAATGATATATTTCAAAAATCAGGAATCGACTGTCTGACTATGTATATGATTACTAAAGTGAAACTTTACGTGATAGTACAAATTAATACGGTTGATATATTCCATTTGTACAGAAAGTTACGAGATTCTATGAAAAAGTAAAATTATATCATGTACGTCGTAGACGGTGGTAGTTTGTTTTAAGTTAAAGACGATAACTGTAAAATTAACCATACCCTTACCTATAGAATTGAGTCTAAGATATGTATTCTAAATATACGAAATTCTGTGCGATTAGAAGAAACAAAATTTCCTGGTGAACTTAACCTTATCCCAGATCATGAATCATGTTCATGAACGAAAATGAAGAAGGTTTATTTTGGGTGAACCTTACAGATTACCGGATTGTTTCCTTTGCTGAGTCAGAATGATATCATATTGCTTACTTTAAGAATATTATGGAGTAATCTACCAGAAAAAGTTCGAGAATTAAGCAGCTTTATGTATAATTTGTGACTTATTGTGCTTAGCTCTTCAAAAATGTTGTCTCGCGTGGCTTTTTACAAGAAAACGCGACAAAGGTAAAAAGATCGTAGCCTTCATCGTGCTTCAGCATACTAGCTCTTCAATTCCTCCCTCTTGGTGCTGACCCCTCGGTTGTTTCTGTCTCAGTGTCCCTCTTTTCTCCACCTGTACAACTTTTCATTATAGCCCTGGACCGAGCAGGGACCGCTATTCACTATACCAAAAAAGGTTAGATTTCTTGGTCCCAAGTGTAAACATTGGTTACTATTTTCATGCTAATTTGAGAGGGGGCTCAAATGGTGTTTTAACAAAAGAATAGCAGCCTACAATTTTCACCGTAGTTGAAAAGGCGTTGTATAGAAAGCTCCTTGTCCCTGTCAACCTTCTCTTCAGAGACGCCGCTTTACTGTTCTCTGTGCTGTCACAAGTTCTTTTCTTGGGTTAAAAACGAGCATTTTTCTATATTTTATAAGCTGCCATCCATAATTTAACATGCGTGCCAACTTTGAAACATCTGACAAGGTATGTACATTTACATAGGTAGTGCAAGTTCTCGAGAAAATATATATATATATATATATATATATATCATTTGACAGTTTTTGTTGTACGGAACCTATATTTAGTTGTTGATAATATTTATACAAAGAAATACCAAAAATATCAGCATTTAAAAAGTACTAGAATTTTTTTAAACATTCTAAAACAAAAAAAGGCGTGAAACCATGCTTAAGTAGAGATAAGAAGTATTGATATACTGAAGATACACCTAAAAAAATGATGTACAATCACATCTTTTATATGGGTTATATGTACATGTACTCTGCCTACAGCAGGTATAGAAATTCAATTTTTAGCGCCATAAGCCCTCAGACTTACTTCTGAGCCACCAGGGGGCAAGGTGTTAATACTGAAATTAAGCACAAAGCTACACACAAGGGCCATCTGTGTTCTGCCCGCCACGGGTATCGAAACCCGGTTTCTAGCGGTATAAGTCCGCAGACTTTCCGTTTACTAAGAGTGTAATTATTATGTAACTCAGTAACGACATTTTCATTAATGTTAAAACGTTTTATTTGTCTATGATAAAATAACTTTACTGCTCGTTTATCTAACTAAAAATGTCTAAATATTGCTAAAGCAAAATGTCAAAATAGCTAAGCAACTTAGTTAGTCACCAAAAATTTCGCAAGTTTTGCTCATTTCGGATATTTTATAAATAATGCGGATGTTTAGTATACTTATCTAAAGAAAAGTTACATTATGTGTGAGTTAAACAAAGTTAAGTTTGAAAATGATGAATTTTATACTGTTCAGTATCTGTCATTTTAATTTATACAAAATACTCAGACTATTTTTAAATACTGTAGCGAGTGGGGACAAGTCCTCCCTCTGGTGGCAAAAGAACGATCCTTTTATATCACATGACTAAATTCGCCCTGAGGACCTATCTTTATTGTTCAAATGTTCCAGTAAATGATAGATTTTTTACCTTCAAAATATCATAAAATTGAGTGCAATGATAAGGAAAAACTGGACATTGGGCAAAATATTACAGGGCAGGAAAGTCTAGGCATAAATCATACTTCAACTTAAGTTGTACGATTCATGAAATACTTAGTTCGACAAGAGTAACGAGGTGAACCGGTAAGTTACTCAACTGTATAACGTCAAGTACTGAAATCCCCCACAGACAGTAAAGAGTTACATTTTAATACGATCCTTTTGTTTAGTTGTTCAAATCATTTATGGTAATAAACGGATGTCTTGTTTTGAAGTATATTCCAGTAATGCATCTCTACATTATGGAAAACTTTGGTCAGGAAATTTTGGCCTACCGTGAACAAAAATTAACACTATTGTTTGGATTGGAAAACATAACACTTGGGAGTTAGCAGCCATAATTATTTATTGAAAATATCAGAAATGTTTGTTTTCTGACTCCATTACATTTTCAAGAAATATTATTTTCCTTTTGTTACTTTCTTTTTTAGTGTAATTAATTATGCATTATTTAATATAACTGTCCAGAAAATACGTTCCATGTAGAAACGATGCCAATTAATGTAACTTTTTTTTATCAATGGCAAATAAAGTTGTTGACCTTGAGAATAAACTTTATTTTCGTTGAGTGTTTCAATGCTAAATAAAGCCAGTCAAGGTAATTATTGGCTTTTTGTTAATCAATGTTTTAATAGCTAAACAATTTTAAATTTATTTAAAACGTTATTACAAACCACTACAATACTACGTGTTTGTCACTCACCTTATTTCTGAAATTTTACTGTGTCACAGTTTCTGGGAAGGTTACTAACATATATTGTTATTGATGTATAAAATTTTACCTATGGTTATAACACAGAAATAAAACAAAACACCTAGTTTTGGGGTTTTTAATTAAGTTTTTTACAAAAACTATAGTATAAAGCTAAGAACATTTTTCACTAAATGCATTTTTTTCACATTGAAATTCACACATAATAATAATAATATTTTATTATTTATACTTTTTGATGTATATTAAGTGATCGTTCAAACAATAACTGTTAATCAAACTATTCATTCTTGCAACAAACGAAACAATTAGCATCTAGAGACTAAATTGTTTAATTGGATAAAAATATTAAATTATTCGAAGCCTTATTTGGTTTTTACTTTTTTTCTCGTAAGATATTTTTGTTATTGTTATAATCACATACACGTACACGTACGTAATCAGTCTAAGCTTGGTTTTCCAAAGTCCTAAGTTTGTATTGATGTAAACGAATGTGGATCCAGTCTGATGTAAAAAGTGGCTTCGCAAGTCTCTGTTATCGCCACAATCACAGCCTGTTTAACATATCACGCATTTACTGCTGATATAATTTTATTACAAGTTAAGAATGTGAATGGTTATAAGGGTTAATAACTAACAAAGATAATTATTTGTACAATATTTTTAATAATTTATAAATTTCTTCTAGGAGTGTGTTCAAGAATATGGACAAGAATCAAATTCAATGCGGAACGTTATAAGTTTGGAACGTATGTCGTTTGCATTATCTCTTATTTTGTTTTATATAATACGTATATCAATTGTTGACTCTCTATACTATATAATGTATAATGTTTCTATATAGTTCTATCATTTATTTATTTATTGGTGTAATTAGTACATACTTAACCAGTTTCTACACTTCTATTCGTCTGCCTATTTATTTATCTATGTATATTATATGAGCTAAGATGAAACGATTATTGAATTGTTGAAAAAGTATTTGATGTATAACTAGCTGTAAAACAACAAATAAGAACTGGATTAAATAGTAGACAAACTATACAAGCAAACTGTTGTTTTACTTCACAAACACACAAGAAAACAACAACAACTAAGGAACCTATGTGATATCACTATCGAGAAGACAGTCCGTTCGGCGCCCTGTTTAACAGCAGCTACCTTTTACGTTGAACAAATAGATTGTGTTATCAATTGCCAGGTTAACAAACGAACAAGAAATAAAAGTGGACAGCAACAAAGAATTGTGCATAAACTGTACTAATTTTATGTATCAATCTTGCTAAGCACATCCTCTGGATTGTAGTGGATCATAACAGAACCAGCAGTTGCTTCTTTCCTTTTTTTTAGCCAGTTTCACCTGATGACAGACGAGCGGGTGAACCCAGGAAAACGACCGTAGGATGTCTGTCTACAATCCCTCCCGGGTTCAAAGACAGTCGAAACCGCGCCGATGACCTTAGAAGCCAAAGCATTCTTGTGAATTCACGGTGCAAGGTGGATTTTTTGTATATATGTTTGATATCTTGACAGACAAGACTCTGTGCTTCGTGACTTAAATAGTCGAGTGAATACTGTCCAGGTACACAAGGCTGTTAACTGAGATTTTTCTAAATAATGTTTATGCATTAAATATAAAAATTCGCAAAATATATTGATAAAAATATTTAATAAAAAAGGTAACAAAAAATATCCATCAATTACTTTTAATAATGTTACTATCACTTTGGCTCATGAAATTAACACCAAAGTGAAACAAAAAATCTTACTTACTTTAACCATACTTTTACGGAACCGTAATGTCGAACGTCCACTACAGCACAAGAGGCTCAAGCCCACGCTGTGGGTGGGGAAGTCAGGGCTATGATTGGCTGACAACTGATAGAGTAGGCGCGCTCCTCCACTATCAAATGACTATTATGTGACCACGGGAGTCTAGTGTTCCCAACTGTAGTAAATGATCAATAACTTCACTATTAACAAGAGTTAAGTTAGAGTTAAACAACTTAGAGACTTCCCATTAGACCTAGTATTTAGACAGAACACAATTTTTTTTTTTCAGGCTAGGAGATTTTATCATTCTAGAGTCATTCCTTCAACACAGCTTGTTGCACGAGATAGGAAAGCCTTCCACTATTGATAAACGTTCAATTGGACATCAGCTAGTTATTTCAAAATATAAGCTTGAAGTTCCAGTTTTGCCCAAAACTTTCGATCTTCAATAAGAGCAGCACATCCAGTACACACTGAGAAACTGACTTAGCGATCCCTCTTCCTCAAAAAGCCTGTGACTACTGAATCAGTCCTCATCGACGGACTAGCTCTTCTGATCCAGGTAAGCCGCTTAACGCCCAAATCCTCAGCTTCTTTAAATTGCTTCAAATTACGACAGCAGCTCATAAATTAACTACTACGAATATCAATCACTAGGTTTTAGAGTTTACACCGACGTATTTAATTTTGTACAAGAAGCTTGATACGATGTATCTTAAGGTTTTTAGATATATAACTGGCTTTCTTTTAAACTCTCTCTCTCTGTAAATATATATATAGAGAGAGAAAGAGAGAGATTTTTCATTACGGTATCTTTATTTTTCTACTCCTTCATTATATCTGCTTAATATTTAAACGTAAAATTAGAATTTACATTTCAATGTTGCCTCTTCTAAAGCTTGCATTAAGCCTAATTTCCTGTAGTTTTTCTTATGCTTCTCAAATGACTTGTTTGGGTGGATATTGGGAAATTGGTTGACACTTGAAAAGAGTAGTTAAAAGTAGAACAAAATATAAAAATACAAATAGTCTTTTGACATTCGAAATACAAGTGAAATAGAAACTAAGATTAAGAATAGGAGCTTCCAACATGTATGTTCTACTGTCTTTCAACCTTTACTGGTGTAGCTCAGCAAGTAATCAAACTTACAGGGCAAAACAACAACTAATCTTCAAGAATTATAAATTGATTCTGGGTGACTCAATACACATGCAAATATAACTTTTTTATTATTATCATATCAGCACTATGAATTATAAGTAATTTGTAAAACAAATATTTCCTGTTTCCTTTAACTTTTTAAAGTTGTTTAACGTTTTTGAAACATATGATTTATACTTTTATGAAAGAAAAAGTTCTTCATTCTCTTTTTCTGTACTTTTTATTGTAACTCTACATTATTTAGTTTCCATTTAAAAACAGTTTACCACATATTTCGACTTTTTTAGTAAGCTGTTTACGTATTATCATGAATATGTGATTTATTCCTTAGAAGTAAACGGTTTCCGTTCCTGATTTATATGTCATTTTCTATTAACTTATGTTCGTTTAAGTGTTGCTGTTAATCACTGGATCTATTAGCTTATGTTCCTTTAAATTTTGCTGTTAATCACTGAAAGTTTTTAACGGTCGTTAAAATGTTATGAATATAGTATTCATTTTGATTTCAATTATCAACTGATGACCAGCACCAGAAAATAAATGAATTTAAATTACCTTAAGCTGTAAATTTCTTGACAGTTTGGAATTGACTCACATTTTTAAAGTTCAATGGCTCCATTTCTTCTAGAAATTATCATTATCCCGCTAATCGTTGTACAGCAATATTTATTTTAGACACTTATATATATTTTTATATACACAAACATATGCATTTAAAAATAGTTTTGCAAATGACAGAGAGTTACTTGAAAAATATATTCAGCAATGGCAGGTTGATGAATTCTTGACAATTTTATATCTTACCTGGAATCAAACAAAAAAAATTCACTTGAATTTCTAGCAGAAATATTATGCTGATGAATTATTGTCTTTTTTATGCCGTTATTTTTAACTCGTCCTCAGTTTCATACTCTGTATATCATTACAATAATGGTGATATTTTACGAGATTAATTACGTGTTTACTCTTTTTATTTGTACTTTTCTACCGTCTTTCATTAGGAGCAAGAAACACATTAAAAATGCTTTAGGCTTCTGTACTGAGAAGTTGTAATTCTCCTCGAAGACAAGAAACCACTTATATATATTTACATATATACATATTGCTAACCGTCATTACATAAATGATTTGTCCAAACGAGTTGCATTGACTTCCCTGAGGTGTAATTATATTGAAACCTTTTAACTTGGCGAGTGTATTTTGTCGACTATGATTAGCTTTACCCATTGTTCAATTTCAACTAAGTTTTTGATACGTTAATTGCAGAAGTTATACCACTAATAATCTTGCAAACTCTACGGTATAAGCTCAGGTCTAAGTACCTCAGCACATACAGCTTTTATGTGACTATTAACAAACAAGAGTGGTAAGCCAGAAACTGAAGTATAATCAAGTTAAGTTTCTTTATTATGATATCAAAATCACTCGCACATACACACAGTTCGGTAACAAACAACAATGCATTCTTTGACTACGAAAAGCCAATATATCTTACAGTTCCCTTCACACATAAACATATACCTTACGGTTTCCTTCACATAGATACATATATGTTACAGTTCCATTCACATATAAGCATATTTCTTACGGTTTCTTTCACACATAAATATATATCTTCGGTTTCCTTCATAGAGATACATATATCTCACTGCTTTCTTTACACAGATACACATATCTCACTGCTCTCTCCACATAGATACATATATATCTTACAGTTCCCTTCACACAGATACATATATCTCACTGCTCACTTCACATAGATACACATATCTTACAGTTCCCTTCACACAGATACATATATCTCACTGCTTTCTTCACATAGATACATATATCTTACTGCTCCCTACACACAGATACATATATCTCATTGCTCTCTCCACATAGATACATATATATCTTACAGTTCCCTTCACACAGATACATATATCTCACTGCTCCCTTCACATAGATACATATATCTTACAGTTCCCTTCACACAGATACATATATCTCACTGCTTTCTTCACATAGATACATATATCTCACTGCTTTCTTCACATAGATACATATATCTTACTGCTCCCTTCACACAGATACATATATCTCACTGCTCTCTCCACATAGATACATATATATCTTACAGTTCCCTTCACACAGATACATATATCTCACTGCTTTCTTCACATAGATACATATATCTTACTGCTCCCTTCACACAGATACATATATCTTACAGTTCCCTTCACACAGATACGCATATCTTACTGCTCTCTTTACACAGATACATATATCTTACTGCTCCCTTCACACAGATACATATATCTTACTGCTCTCTTCACATAGATACATATATCTTACTGCTCCCTTCACACAGATACATATATCTTACTGCTCTCTTCACATAGATACATATATCTTACTGCTCCCTTCACACAGATATATATATATCTTACTGCTCTCTTCACACAGATACATATATCTTACTGCTCTCTTTACACAGATATATATATATATATATTGCAGTTCTCTTCACTCAGATACGCATATCTCTCGAAAAAGTTTTGTTAAAAGTTCTTCCAATCAAATGCATGAAAAAAAAAGTCCAAGTCTGCAATGAAATCTGTCGGAAGTACTTAACCGGTTTCATGACGTGAGGGTCACTCTCCAGGTATGAACTCTGAATGTTGGAGTTGTTGGTCTCTTTTTTTCACGTTCATAAACATCTGTTGTAAATCCCGAAACAGAAGCTATTTCGTAAGTAAATACACTCAGATAACATTAGAATTTTAATTTCATGCAAATATTTAGGTTTCGCTAAAACTAAGATTAATTAAAATTTAAAACAAAGAAAGTTTTGAACTTTTTAGGAGTATATCTAATTGCATAGCAGTAGCAATTAGGTTGCTAATTAAAAATAAAATTAACTGAAGTGTGTAACTGTTATAGGTGTTAACTAATAGTCGTAGTTAACGTACGGAGGATATTAAAACTAGTTTGTCTAAGCTTGATTTAGGCCTAGCCGTGAGGTGCAATCTGTGAATTTCCAAAATCTATAAACATATTTCTTATTCAGACGTCTAAACAGAGTTGATCATATATTTCAATATAGAAAAATGTTTTTAATTATGCATAAATAAATAAATATATATATATATATTATGATTTTAAAACTTGAAGTTTTACTTCAGTACAGAATATTTCACAAATATTAACTACTTTGTAATGTTTCACAAGAAACTGCCAATGTAAAACATAGCTTTTTAAAGGATATATTATTAATATAATAGATACAAATATATATGTGGGTGACTGATGTCCATTCTTTTTGAAGGTTATGTAAAGATGCTAAGAAAGTGTGTCGAACCTTTCTTCTATACGTGGTGGGAATTTAGGTTAATATATATTTCATTCCCCGAAGGGGAATGAAATATAACCAGGGGCGGTCAGAAAGTGTGTCGAAACGTTTGTTGAAATATATATATATATACGTAGATTATTTTTTTCGGGAGTATATCGTATTCAAGTGTTAAACTAAAGCTTATGATGTAAGCTTTTTTTTCGGTAATAACACATAGAAATGAGGGGTTACTATCTTAATATTGTTATGATATGCGTGTAAGTTTCCAGTCTCCTAGTATACATCATTTTTTACATAAAGTAGAATTCAAAACGTTGGTCTTTTGTGCCCTCAGAGATATTTCGTCAGTGCTAGAAAGCAGGGAGCGTTATAAACTTGTACGTTTCTTGTTTTAGATAACGTCAACGGTCCTCTCACCCTATCAACCTTCTGTTTCTCACGTGCTTACCGCTGTAATTTTAAACTCGGGAAACACTTAGAACCTAGGACTGATGGGAGAGATCGACACAATAGCATCAGGGCCGAGTGGCAGACAAGAGAGTTAGTTATTTTGTGTCACTGCTGTGACTACTAAGCAATGAACATAACCCGAGCTCTGTGCCCCGAGGACGTTTCACTGGGGTGCCGGCCTCGCCCTGGGGGCATCCACGTGATTCTTCCCTCGGTCACACTGTAACAGACGCTAGTGGTTGACACGTCTGGTTGAGTGTCTTCCATCCTTTGGAAAGTTATCAAGTAGAGACACCTAGAATGTGGGACAAAATATTTACTAGAATATATAACTTACTAACCAAATAAATGGTTAAGCCATATTTTAATATTTTAAACTTTTATCTTGAAAATACTAATAAAGCTTTTCGAAACGATGTTTATTTTTATAATTTCCATACACACACATATCGGCTTGTAGCATTTATTACATCAAATATGAAAACAAGACACCAAATCTTTCATTTTACATGAAAAAAAAGAAGAAGAACATGAAAAAGTATTTCTGTAACTTTTGCTCTGTCAACAAATCCACTATAATAAGCCTAGAAATCAACCGTTTTTACACTAAATG